GGCTGACTTAACTGACTTCATACTTACAGTTTGTCCGGAAGGCCGTTGGGGTCCCGGATGCAAAGACAAGTGTCGCTGTGCTAATGGAGCTCATTGTGACCCAGCGACTGGAGAGTGCAAGTAAGTCCCATCATTCGCATCATCTGGTGGAGTTTTTCTTGCTTTGTTTACTTACTGATTTTTCCGCCTTTGCTGCTGATGAAGTTCCAATAAACAAGCAAAAATGAGAGAATGGGTAATTTACTTCTCTAATATAGAGGGCAACTGCTGGTTCAAGTGGCATAGGGCTTCAAGTTATTGAGTGGTGACCAGCCATTGTTGCATTCCATTTTAGGTGTAATCTTGGGTATACCGGTAAAACGTGTGAACAAAGCTGTCCATCTGGAAAATACGGTTTGAACTGTACGCTCGATTGTGAATGCCATGGAAATGCACGGTCGGTCATGATTATTTCTTGAATAAGGTTCCTGCAAGTAAAGTTTCAAACACCCTCATATTCAGATGTGATCCCGTCCAAGGTTGCTGCGATTGTCCACCTGGCCGTTACGGTACCAGGTGTCAATTCGGTTCGATTTTCGACATATGCCCATCATGCTTCAGGGTCAAATGCATATGCTTATTTTAGTCTGTCCTGCTGGTTTTTATGGATGGTACTGTAGCCAGTCATGTTCATGCCAAAACGGTGCATCGTGCGAACCGGGAGACGGTCAGTGCCTGTGCCCTCCTGGATTTGAAGGCGACCATGTCAGTTTTTCAAATATTATCCGACTATGTCATGGTGAAAATAATGCTATTTTTTCAACGATGTAGCTTCACAGTTTCTCCAAACACTCCCATGAAACCTTTTCTGCCAGTACTGATTATGAGAAAGGTTATCGAGATAATTTGTTCTCGCAGATTTCTTGGCGGATATTCAATATACAGGGGGGGGGGCAAAAAAAGTCACTTCGACCGAGTCACATATCAGCAAAGTTTTCGCAGCCCAGAGAGAAGACGTGGATACGAGTACCAGGGCGGAAGATACCCAAGATGTTCCTCGATAAGCAGGAGCTGGCCCTCGCCCATCACCTTCATGTACACCAAAATATGAGGTCATCTCCAGTCGCAGCCTGACTGGAGAAGACCTTT